AAAATCTAAATTAAATAGTGACAATATTACACAAGTCGCAAGATCAAAAATCCGCTATGCTCGTAATCATCTCTTGCGCCACAGGTGACAATTATCCTAAATTTAATTTAATTTATGCGCAAAATATTAGTTTTCGGGAGTAAATCTATAAAGATTTCTCTCAACCGAACAACCTCCCACTGACTATGGCATGTCTAAAAGCATGATAAAATATTCTAATTCCATACAATAACATCATAATGTAGATTCACAATCAACTCATGCTATGTTACAATTAATAATGGAATTTAAACAAATAAAAAATTAATCATGCTATTCGAATCACAACATATTAGAAATTCTAGGCAAAAAAAACAACAATATGCTGTATTTAATATTCAGATTATGCCATAACAGAAAGTATATCACTTCTGAAATTTTCTGGTATTTTCTGAAATTTTAAATAATTAATAAACACACATGAAATCATAAATAAATATTCCAGAATCTGGAAAAATTCAACAATCACACCAGTAAATAGTAAACCATTACAGTGGTCTACTGTAAAAATTCCAGCTCCAGAAACTTAATCATGCAACACCAGAAGCATTTTAAAGAAGAAATAATAAATTATTATTTTAGGAAAAATATTTTTTATTTTCATAAAATTTTGAAAATTTTACAGAAGATAGAAATTTAATTCTGAGTCTAACAGTACTAACCACGTTTAAAACAAAGCTATAACGAATTACTTATGACCATTTAACGAAATTCTAGATTTAAAAAAAAAACAAACAGAGCCTTAGAGCCAAGCCAGTGTGGAAAAAAAACCTCGGCGCGGCTTGCCACCACTCAACATAGCGCGACTCAACATGAGGCGGCTCAACGCGGTGCATCTCGACTCGGTGCGCAGCCCGCGGCGTGGACGACAAGGCAGCGCACTCCTGGCAGCGCGTGGGAAGCACACCTGGCGCGTGCTAACTCGTGCCAGCGTGTGGCCGCCGCTGATGACGTCATCTGATGTGTGCGGCTCACGCGCCACCTTCCGAGGTGTTTTCTGGTCCAATTTCGGTACTTCCGAACTTCGTTTTCCAAAATAAAAAAACATTTGTAGTCTCAAAAAAGACATTTAATGAACATAAAAGATGAGGTGTATAACACTCTCTCTCTAATGAGAGTGGAAGTGCAAAAATCCTGCACTTCATCTTCCTCCTTAAGCCATCAAAAAAACAAAACGAACCCAAATTAGGGTTTGATTTGTCTCATCAACCGTAAATCCAAATCTAACAAATAATATATGATTTCAAAGGTCTCGAAACAAGGATTCTAAATATGTAAGATTTGCAAACTAAAATTAAAGCATGTAAAACCATTATGCATGTAAAGTTTCGAAAATATAAAATGGGTCTCCATTTTTCTTGAAATCTAACCGTTGGATTTTTATGAAACTTTACAGATCTGTTCTACATTAAATATACTACAATATATATAAATTTCAGGTTGATCAGAGATAGTTCGAAAAATTATTAATTTTCATGCATATATCGTGTATATATTTACATAAAATTATACACCTATTTTAATGCATAAAAAATAAGCACGAAAATACCCATAAAGGCTCTGATACCAACGTAAAACAAGTATAACGCAACGGGTAAAAATTTCAGATCATACCCTAGGTGATAGAACTTGAAGCGAAGAATCTTATGGGTAAATCACGTGCTTCAAAAAATGCGAACAACGTACTCCAAGCAGTGGAGTAATACCACAATATGAGTATCACCCACACAAGTCACAGTGCGAAAAGCTTGATGGTTAGTTTAATGGGAGAGAGTCAGTATGGGAAAAATCATTCGTTATTCAATCCATCCCATATCCCATATAACGTATCAGATATATAGGCTGCGTATATCATCTATCCATATTAGTTGATATGATAGATAAATATATCAACAGTGGGTTATCCAAATAGGTTTTGAATTCCAATTCAAACTTACATGGATAAGGTTCAAAGGGTCATGGGTCATGCCACATGGGCGCCCAATTTCTAACAAAGTGAATCTTGATCTTCTTTGTTGTTTGTATCTAGGATTCTTGATTTTCTTGTCTTTGCTTGTTCTTGTTGCTTTGAATTTAGTAGTAATGTAAAATGTAAAATTCTGATCTTCTTTGTTGTTTCTATGGAGGATTTTTGATTTATTGCTTGTTCTTCTTGTTAATTTTAGTTTGTTTCGTCATGGTTATGTTCTTTCAAAATTGATCAATAATATATATATATATATATTGTGTGTATGTATACGTTAGGCATTCATGGCTTCTTTTTTCTTTTCTTTTTTTTTTTTGTTTCTTTTTTAGGGTGTTCATTGATCACAATCTTCATTAGCTCATGGATGTTGCTTTGAAAAGTTAAAGATAGTTGACCTTTTGACAACACTATTTTCTTAACCCCCCAAGCATGTGTTCTATTTCATTCTCACTTTTGGAAGTTAAATCTGTCCTTAAAAGGATACCAAACAGTTTTTCAACTTCTTTCAATTGTTACTCTGAGCCTTTACTTGCAATTTGATTAGAAGTATATCTCAATGTCTAATTCAGATCCACTTTGGTTAATTTGTTTTATGCATTTGGAATTCAGAGTGATGTGCGAGAATTGCTGGTCATTGTGAATTTTCTTGATTTTGGGAGGTTATTAGTCCTATCTATCGACCATTGTGTTTTTCCAAAATTTTAGATTTTCTGGATTTGCTTTAATTATTATCTCTGTTATCAGAATCTTATGATTTGCGATTCGATTAATGATTTGATTCACAATTTTTATAAAATCGATTAGAATCTATGGGTGAATCTATTTTGGAAGTGAATCTCTAATGAATCGCACGATTCACAATCGATTCACGATTCAATTCACATTTTACGATTCATACAATTCTTGAAATTATTGTGTTCGAGATATTTTCAACTATTTTTTTCTCTCCATCTTTTTAGTGAAAATAATATAACACAACTTCTAATATCGTTTAATACCAAAATAACCAATATATACATGATTTGTTGTTGTTGTTGTTGGTTTTTTTTTTTTTGGATAATAGAGTGTCCAGGCCAGCACCCCTTCGGAGTGTCGCACCTCGACTAATTTGGGGGCCTGAGTCGATTGACCAAGCAAAGACGTAGTGGCCCGCCAGTAGCCAGCTGGGGGTGTGATTCGAACTTGAGACCTAGAGAGGAGCATACTCCTAGGTCCCTGATCCCTTGCCCTCAACCAACTAGGCTACCTTTACGGGTTATGATTTGTTGTTATATTAGTGATCATGGAGTTTTTAATAGGATTCAATCAGATTCAGTCAGATCCAACATGTTTCAACCTTTCTTCTCATTTTTTATTTATTTAAAAATTCATAATATATCTTCTAAAGATGTTTAAGATTAAAGTAACTTATATCATGAATTATATATTGCTATTTTATTAAATTGAATATAGTTGAATATTACATGGGTGAGGTCAATTATACCTTTTAAAATGTTTTAGGCTTTAAAATAAAAGATCTTAAATAATTCTTTATTATTATTTGGTCACTATTACTTGGAAAGCTTATTGTCCAAATCAGTGTTGTGAAAAGCGCGCCTAGGCGCAAGGCGAATCTAGGTGCACCCTTTGCGCCTGTACAGGTCCCAAGCGAGTTGACTTGAGCCAGGCGAGCGCCTTAGCCGTGACTTGAGCCAGGCGAGAGTCGCCTAGGCACGAGGCTCTCGCCTAGGCGCGATTGATTGTTTAAGATGTAGATCTGATCTAACGACTCAGATGAACCTTTCGAATGGCTCGTAATCACAGAGGATTACAACTCATGTACCATATGAGCCAAATACGACTCATATGAACCCTAATTGAAGTCGTCTCTTCCTCTTTCGCCTCGCAATAGACTTTGACTTCGACTGGGCTGTTGGAGCTGGACTACGACTGCGACTGCGATTGCGACTGCGACACTGGACTTCGACTTCGGCTTCGCAGGTTCGACTTCGACTCTCTCTCCCCTTCTCCTTCTTTTTCGTCTTCTACTTACAGTTCTGCTTCGACTTTCAATTTTTTTTTTTTTTTTTGGGCTTTAACTTCTTCAGTGCTCTGTTTTGCTTCTTCTTTTTTTTTTCAATTATTTGAGTTGAGTCTCTGAAAAAAAATGTAGGAGAAGAATTTACAAAAAAAAATTACAAAAATTAGGGAAAAAAATTATTTGTAATATGCTATTGAAAAAAAAAAATATTTGTAATATGTAAGAGAAAAATTTATCTATTAGGGAAAAAAAAATTACAAATAATTAATTATTCACAAATAATTAATTATTTGTAATATGCTATTGACATTTTTTTTCCTTTATTTGTTAGGGAAAAAAAAATTACAAATAATTAATTATTCACAAATAATTAATTAATACAATGTGGTATTGGTCTTTTTTTTTTTTCCTTTATCTGTTAGGGATTAAATTTGTTTTCCATTTATTCTTTTAATACAATTATTTTTCCTTTATTAAATTTGTTGTGTAGAAAATGACATCGGAAAGTAATAGAAAAGATACGGCGTGGCAATATGCCCATTTGGTAGGAGAGAATAATTTAAACAAGTTCGAGTGTGATTTTTGTGGTAAAGTATCAAATGGAGGTGTTTATCGGGTGAAACAACACCTCGCGGGAGGTTATAGGAATGTCACTGCTTGCCCGAAGTGTCCTTCTCATGTAAGAGAAGAGATTAGAGAGTTCATGTAAAAAAAAAAAGACACAAAAGAAGAAATGAACATGTTGCCTGATTTTGATGACATGGACATTTGGTAATATGCCCATTTGGTAGGAGAGAATAATTTAAACAAGTTCGAGTGTGATTTTTGTGGTAAAGTATCAAATGGAGGTGTTTATCGGGTGAAACAACACCTCGCGGGAGGTTATAGGAATGTCACTGCTTGCCCGAAGTGTCCTTCTCATGTAAGAGAAGAGATTAGAGAGTTCATGTAAAAAAAAAAGACACAAAAGAAGAAATGAACATGTTGCCTGATTTCGATGACATGGACATGGAAGATGAAGATGAAGATGAAGATGAAGATGATGATGTCGTTGAGATCAATGTCAATCAACACCGTAAATTGACAAGTAGGAGCCAAGGTTCATCCAAATCCAAATCCAAATAAAAAATGCCAAAGAGAAAAGGACATATGGATGTTTACTTCACACCCAATCCTGAATCAGTGGTGAAAAATCGAAGAGACCAAGCAAAAGGAAAACAAACCAAAATTGATGCAAATGACCCTTACAAAAAAGAAATGAGAGCTCGGGCAATACAAAGATTTGCAAGGTGGATGTATGATACTGGTATCCCTTTTAATGCAGTAAATTATGAGAGTTTTGGACCAATGATTGAAGCCATTGGCCAATATGGTCCTGGTATGAAGCCACTGACTTACCATGAAGTGTGGGTTACCTAACTCAAAAAAGAAGTGAAACATACTGAAGATTTGATGAAGAATCATAAAGAGGATTGTGCAAAATACGGGTGTTCCATAATGGCTGATGGTTGGATTGATAAGAGATGAAGGACATTGATTAACTTTTTAGTTAATTGTCCAAGAGGAACCATGTTTGTTGAGTCGGTTGATGCTTCTAGCTATTCAAAGGATGGGCAAAAGCTATTTGAATTACTAGACAAGTTTGTGGAGAAAGTTGGAAAAAAGAATGTGGTGCAAGTTATCACTAATAGTGCTGCAGCTAATGTGTTAGCGGGTAAGAATATTTCCTCATTCCTTACATCAAAATTGTTTACTCATAGTTTGTTTTGTATTTAAAATTTAAAAACTTGAAAATAATAATTCTTCGTTATTGTTACATTATAGGGAGGTTTTTGGAAGCTAAGTATGAACACTTGTATTGGACACCATGTGCTGCTCATTGTTTGGACTTGATGCTAGAAAACATTTTCAAGATACCTAGACTGAAAAAGACATGTGAAAGGGATATTGCAGTACATGGCTACATTTACAATCGGCCTACGTTGCTAAATATGATGAGGCGCTATACAAATTTGAAGAATTTGATCAAGCCTGCAAAAACTAGATTTGCAACCGCCTTTTTGACTTTGTCTAGGATGCATCAACAAAAAAATAATTTGAGAAAGATGGTCATCTCCGAAGACTGGACCTCAAGCAAATGGGAAAAGGAGCTACAAGGTTAAAGAATGGCACAAACTTTGTTGATGCCTTCATTTTGGAATACTGTTGTGTTTGCCCTTAAGGTCTCGGGTCCTCTTGTCAAAGTGCTTAGATTGATTGATACCGAGAAGAAACCTCCCATGGGATACATTTATGAGGCAATAGATAGGGCAAAAGAATGCATTGCAAGTTCATTTGATCATAAAGAAGAGAAGTATAATGAAATCTTTGAAATCATCGACAAAAGATGGGATGTCCAATTGCATCGGCCTTTACATGCAGCTGCGCATTTTCTTAACCTAGAATTCTTTTACCCAAAAGCATTAGAGGTGCAAAAAGATCATGAAGTAATGAATGGGTTTTATGAATGCATGCAAAGGTTGGTCCCGGATGTCACTGTTCAAGATTTGATCACTAATGAGATGAGTATTTATATGAAGGCTGAAAGTCTTTTTGGCAAGTCTGTTGCGATTAGGCAAAGAAATACAAGAGCACCAGGTAATATATTATAGACTCATAGAGTTTATTTTTAGTAATACTTTTAGTAAAACTCAATACTTGGTAATAGTTATTTCTAACTAGTGGATTATTGCAGCTAATTGGTGGGCATCATATGGTTCTTATACTCCAAACTTGCAAACTTTTGCCATAAAAGTCCTTAGCCTAACATGTAGTTTATCGGGCTGTGAACGAAATTGAAGTGTATTCGAACATGTGAGTATTTAACATTCTAACTAATTTTTTGTTCAATTCAAATATTTTTTATTCTCATTATATAGAATTTAATATCTTTTTAATACTTGCAGCTTCATAGCAAGAAAAGAAATAGATTGTAACAACATCTCAATGATTTAGTGTATGTCAAATACAATAGAACATTGAGATTTAGGTATGACATGCGCAACACTCTTGATCCCATATCTTTGCAAAATATTGATGAAAGCAATGAGTGGTTGCTTGGGAGGATGGATGGAGAATCAGATGAAGATAATGAGCCTGTGTTTGATGATGATGATGGCTTGATGTGGGCCACTGTTGCTAGAGCTTCTAGAGTAGAAGAAAGTAGCCATGCAAGTAGAGCAACAAGTTCACGCTCAAAGGCACAACCGAGGATATCTAAATCATCAACATTGACTCCACTTCAATTAAAAGATGAAGAGGAAGCGGGCTCAGATGACACAGAGGAGGAAGATGTTGAGGGATATAAATCAACTGATGGAGAAGAAGATGTTGCCATTGATGTTGAGGATGATGATTGACTGACACCGACCTAACCTACACTTTCTTTTGATATTGATGTTTTTTAAGTGTTAAGACGTATATTAGTATTTGTTGGATATTTATGTTTTGGATGTTTAGTGTTTATGTTTTTATTTTTATTTTATTGAATGTGGATTATTTGATCTTTGAAAATTGGAATGTTATGTAATATGCACTTTCATGGCTTTGAGAATTATTCTATATTTTGTCTTGAATCTTGATTATTTTTTATTTTTTAAAAAATTGTCTTAGTACTATGAATGATTAGTCTATGTTAATTTTTCTATTTTTTACGAAGACTGTGCGCCTTACTTCAATAAAGCCCGCGCCTCGCCTTGCGCCTTGCGTCTAGGCCCCAAGAGACCTTCAGCGCCTTAGTGCGCCTTGAGCCTTTAAAAACACTGGTCCAAATATCAATATTGTTGTTAATTATTGTTACTTTGAAGATTGATAGTTTGTCGGTTACTATCTTTGTTAAGAATGGTTGATAAGAAACATCTAAACGAGGAGAAAAGGTAAGATGATAATCTTATATAGGCATCTTTGTTAACTTCTTACCTATTAAACTACGTGATCATCATTCAAAATAATATTTTCATTTTAAGTCTAAATATTTCATATTCATAAGATATATTTAGCATTTAAGTGTGCAAATATATATATTTTAAAATTTTAGAAAAAGTGACTGAATCTTTATAATTCACGATTCGATTCGCGATAAGGTCATTTCGATTCACGATTCGAATTTCGATTTGACAACTATGTAGCTTATTACTTCTAAAATCCAGAGGAACATAGTTCTTGACTACGGGGAATTTATTTTAAAGCAGAGAAAATTGTGACGGAGTTTTATGATTGTCCAAAGAAAGCAAATGCTAGTACATTTATGATACACATTTGGTGCATTTTTTCTTTTCACTCCATAAAATTCTTGTACGTTCTAATGTCCTGTATTTACATTATCAGTTCATCAATTTCAAGTTGAAGGAGAATGAGTGGTGGGAATCACAATCATTCTGGTTATCCTGGTGGACACTACCCTCCATCGCCTCCTGGGGGCATACCCTCCCCAAGGATACCCTCCTCAGGCATATCCCACTCAAGGTTACCCACAGGCTGGATGCCCTCCTTCTAGTGGTTACCCTCCAGCCGGATATCCTCTCCCAGGTGGCTACCCACAAGCTGGATATCCTCCCCCAGGTGGCCACCCACCAGCTGGGTATCCTCCCCCTGGAGGATACCCACCATCAACATATCCTTCCCCAGGTGGATATCCACAAGTAGGTTATCCTAGTCCATTGGCTTCACATCATTCAGGTATGTTTGATGCATTTCTTTGTACTTTGACATAAATTTGACTTTCTTATCTGTTTTTAGGTTATGTTTGCCAATAGATTGTCATTACCTCACTCAGGAGGGACCTTATTATTGGCTTTTCTTGCCATGTGTTGTTATTTTGAGTTGTCCTCCAATATTAGGATATGTTTTTCATTTGATTGTGAAGGACCTTATGAGCCTTTTTTTCTTTTCTGTTGTGATGAGGGAAGTGGGCATGGTATGTGTTGTTTTTAGTTTTTTGATTGTGTCATTTAAACAGAATAATGGTGGAAATAGGTCCATTATGGGCAGCCTACAAAAGGGCTTTCATCCAAATGTTATGACCTACTGAGGGCTTTCAAATATCGGAGATTTTATTTCTATAAAAAATTTGCAGTTAAAAAAACTTGAGAGTCATTAGATGTGTTAAAGGCGAATGGTGTCACCACCTACAAGAATTGTTTGAACAGTAGTGGTTGGCACTTGGCAAGAAATGTGAAACTCCTAGAACCTTTGATTAGTTTGAGCGTCTATCCCGTGTTTTTGAATCCAGAACAAGAAACTCATACCGGCAAAAACTATCAAGTGCATATTATCACCTAGGAGGAATCAGAAGCAGAAGCTTTTTTTAATGATTTTTGGCACCAAAATAGTTGTAGAATTCCCTTTTATCCCGCGGTAAAGAGGAGTAAACTAGGATGCCCTAATTTGAAATACTGCAAAAAATTTTGACAGTTTGTCTCTAATTCTCTCTCAGGGAGAGGGGGAAGAGAGATTAAAATCCAAAGGTTCACGTCTAATTATTGAACCTTCTTTTTTTTTTGTTGTTGTTAATTTTTCATTTCTCTGCCTCCTATTACCATCTACTAGTTTGCAATATAGTATAACAATGCACTTATTAAATTACATTTATGCAAGGTAATGAGGATCCTTAACACCCTAAGCAGGCAGGCTTGCAATGCTGTTTGTTCAATTGTAACACTAAGCTTTTATTATTATTATTTTTTCCCTTTATTGATAATGCAGGGCATGGAGGACCTAGTATGGGAACACTGATAGCTGGGGGTGCGGCTGCTGCTTATGGAGCTCATCATCTGTCACATGGGGGTCATCATTCGTCACATGGCAGTCATCATCTGTCACATGGCCATCACCATGGGAAGTTTAAGCAAGGGAAATTCAAACACGGGAAGTTCGGTAAACACAAGAAGCATGGAAAGCACCACGGGGGGAAAGTTGTTGAAGTTCAAGAAATGGAAGTAATTCTGGTGTGCAGCTTTATTGTTGTACCTATTCTGGTGTGTCATACCTTACAACCAGCATTGTTTGCTGCTGTTATTACTTAGGCTTCCTGTGACTTTTGTCCCCCTTTTTTTAACCTCATGAATTGTGGATGCAATTTGAAAGTTACGGCATTGAGCTACTAGCGTGCACATATAATTACAAATTTCTTATGTGGTATTTCTCCACCCGTGAATGAATTATGTAGTGTTTGGTTCACTAGAATGAATGTATATTTGAATGGAATGTTTATTCCTTATCCTTTTTGTGGAACAATCATTCCTTTACAATGACAATTCTATTTGCAATGAATTTTTCATAACTTTTTTAGTGAACCAAACGTGAGAATGCATATTTTGATGGAATGATCATTTCATTTCAACTCATTTCAACTCATTTCAATGAATCTAACATAAGTCTTTTAAGGAACGAGTTGATATAGCCCTCACAAGTAATTTTCTTTTTTAGGCCTTGTAATTTTCCTTACAAGTATTTGCATAGTAATTGTTGCAACTTGCAAAAGGGTTGTTTGGCCCAACAGTAAGGTTTAATGTTAGCATTCTTAGTGGTGCGAGTTTGAGTAATGAAATTAATCTCTTTAGACATGGGAGGGAGCTATGTGTTTGTCCTCTAGGCTTACTGTTGTAGAATTGTCATGCACTGAGTAGCTACTTTTAATGGTTGATATGTGCCTGTTACAAGATATATTTGGTGGGTCTGTCAACAATGGTCCAATAAAAACAACATTCCCTTTCACACTTGATCATTTAGTATTTTTGTGAAAGCAACATGTTGTACAAAAGCAAAAAGGGAAAATAATGGAGTCAAAAGTAGTGAAAGTGGTTGTTGGAACGTATTGGTTGGTTGATGTATCTGAGTTTCAAGTTCATGAAATTGACGATAAGTGTTTTCTGTGCTTCTCACAATTTATATGTATTTATAAATTGGGAATTTAATTAATGCAATTTGGTGTGTCGCTTCCTTGATATTTACGGTTTAAAGAAGCATTTCATTACAATAACTCAGAATGCATGACCATACATAGTTACAATTGCTACTTTTTTTATTTTTTATTTTACACAAAAAATTTCCTTACAGTGAGAGTGGATTAAAAATTGCAAATCTAGAATTCACTAGGGAAAATGGTATTTGTCACTTGGATATGTAACAATCCTACATTGGAGATTGTGGGGAAGGTGGTTTGGAAATACTCTTTGGATCCAATGGGACGCTCGAAATCCTTAGCTGGTAGCTTGAAAAAGAATGAACACACCGGTCGGGGGTGCCGGAATTAGCACTCCGACGGATAAGTCAGTGTATGCTCTCTAGATTGCATGTGTCTTAAGTTTAGCGTACTAATTCTCACGTACCTCTTCTTGTTCGTCGTTTTTCTATTTATATATGCTCCTAGTCTTCTAGGCAGGGCCTGCTCTTGATCTGTCATGTACTTATGAATTCGCCCCCCCCATTATGACGTATTCCAACTTTTAATTGGCCCATTGCTTAACATATTCGGCATCTGAAACATCAGGGGCGGAGCCGAGTGCATATTATACACCGATTGGAAAAATATACACTGCCTATCTGCGTCTGCTTTTATTCGGCTACCACAATTGCCCCCCGAACACCCCCACTAACTCCGTTTAGTCGGCGTGCTTGGTTTTGATCTTGAAAAGGCAAAAATTCGGTGGTTAACCTCATTCCAAAGCGTGTCAGAACGCACACGTTTTCTAGTCATCATTACAAGTTCCCGCCTTTTCGTACGCTTCCTCCATTTAATGTGGTTTAAAACTTTGTCTCTTTGAATGTATACTTTGAATACTCAAGATTTTTTGGTTCGCTTTCTAGTACAACTCCTGCAGCTCGCGACCTCTACAACTCTCTTCTGTCTCTCATTATCCCTTCCGCTCCCTGCAAGTCCTCTTTTCTTTCACTCCCAATACCATTTTCTTGTTTACTATTAGTTTTGCATAATCCTTAGGCTAGCTACGATGGCAAAAAATTTGAAAGCACTCCTTTCTGCGGATCAGATTTCCGGCTTCCAACGCCATCGTTCCATCCCCGATGACGTTCATCTGTCACTTATGTAAGACAGCACCATCGATATGCAGAGGACCGACAAGAGCACAATCATCTTTCCTCTCCTATTGATTGTTGAAGGCGGCATCCGTTTTCCCCTTCATCCGTTTTTTAGAGCCGTCTTTCGACATTGGAGCCTAATCCCTTCCCAGCCTAGCGTGATTTTTTTTCACATCATAATGGGGATCATAGAGTTAAACCGTCGTCTTAGGATTAACCTAGGCATTCCTACGATTCGGCATTACTATGTCTTAGCCAAGTCCACTGGCCGTCTAGGACGCTATTTTCTTAGGGCCAAGGACACTGATCATCATTTAGTGAC